TAATGCTGTCAAAAACTAAGAACTGGGTGCTTAAATTCAATTAAACTTTAGGCACAGTAACACGACTTCAAGTCGCTAAACTAATCGTGATAGAATTATCCTCATGCGCTGTAAGCGCCTTGGTATAAATTTGACTACTCTCAAGGGAACGACATCGAGTGTAAGTGCAAGACGCCCCAAAGTCGTTCAATATCGACCAAGGCCTCTCAAAGTCCTAAATTTTTGCATCGCCGACTGACAAGACAGACTTGTATCCCGCTCCATACTAACATGCGCGGAGCTCTTTGGGGATAAGCTCTGCTTAACTTTACGTCCCAGTTGTTTAACGGAACCTAGTTCTTCTCCAGTAGAACGCCCCGCGCCTACTGGGCATCGGCATTTCCCCTAGTCATCCCAAGTTCTGGCTCGGGGTGGAGTGTTGGCTTGTAGCCTGACGCTATTTACACAACGGGCAACCAGTCCGATAGTGTTTTGTGCTTAAGAATGTAATTTATCGTCGAACGACTCGTTGGTGCTCAGCAGCTTGCAGTTCAACTTCACCTTTATCTTCAGCATAGCTGAGATTAATCGGCTTCGGCTTATTGAAGGCCGGACCACTCGTGGAGTTTGCTCTTGTAGAGCTAGAATTGTACTCATTCCAGACAAGCCTGACCGACTTGGAATTATGCTCAGGTCTGAGAGAAATTCTCACGGCCTCTTCGAAAATAGAGAAGTAAACCCGAAAAACTTGGTTCTGGCAATGCCAGTACGAAGACCTTCTATGAAGATAGTCACATGAACTGCCTGGGGCAGAGGGTCAAACGGCATTATGGAAGTTCTTAGCTCTTAGACACAGTTGGATAACTCATTCTTACCCTGGTGGGTAGAAAATCATGAACGCACGCGGTGAGTCTGGTGAATGGTGAAAGTTTCTGTAATAATTTTGACTTAAGCGACTACCATTTGGGGAATGCTATGTCAACCGACATGCTACACGTCAAGGCCCATTATCTAGCTCTTCCATCGAGCTTTGAGATAACCAGCGAGACTTTTTGATGGTCAAGCTTTATCAGGCCTGATCTTATGGACATCTCAACCTCACGGATGTAGAAGATGAGGTTTATACCCTCCTTTCCGGAGTGTTTTTAAACATCCACTCTAAGCGGACGAGGCCTAGCCTCTTCGTCTGGTAAAGACACATAGCGTGTATGCATAGCCAACGCTAATTGGTCCTGGACCTGCCCTAGAAGGGTCGCTTTATACTGCATTAAGCCAATAAAACAAGCGTTTAGCACCTCAGGGCCTTGTGAGACCGGTAACTCCACGTAATCTGGACCCAAAGATGCAATCAACTTATCAAGCGCGACCTTTTAAGCCTCAGAGAGGGGCAGTAGGTTTTCCATTGTAACGGGGTCACACTAGCCTTTGGCCGAATTGGTCAAAGACCCATACATGATATGGATGAATGTGTGTGACCTTAGATTTTGTATCAGCAAGAGAATATCGATTGATCGATATTCCCAGGTTTACGGTACTTACAATCTACGCACTTTGTACCGTCATCATTTGATGACTGAGTGATGTGGCAACCATCCTTTTAGTTCGAATACTAATATTTTTATTTAGAAAAATATAGGGTACACAAAATAGTATTTTTTTGATATGAAATCTAGATAAAGTTCTGTTCTCATTTTGAGCAGAAGTCCCTAGACTCTCCCCCCTTTCGCACCTCGCGTTTGACAGTTCCTTAAACTTTCGTGGGTTAGAGAGTCTTTAAGACTCCGGTATTCCCCTTCTGCACATTGTGCGTGTAGTTGTTTAGAACTTAAGTGGATGAGCTGCTAGCTCGTAGAGTCCACACGAGTTCCGTAGAACTGGGTGACTCTTTAACTTGATAAGTTAGTTCCGTAGAACTAATAGGCTGTCAGCCATAAGCCGTTGGCTTGTTAAATGAGTCTTCCTCTGAACATAAAGAGCTGTGTAGCTCCGCTACATCCATCCTCACAGAAGATCTGTCTAAATAGACTCAGGCGTATTTGACTACAAGTTCTACCAAGTGCAGCGGAGCTACACAGCTGCTTAAGTCAGAGGAAGACTTAACATCATTGAGCAATTTAGTTTTAAAGAACTAGACTCAATGAGTCAATAAGCGTAAAGCTTATGGTCCTTGTATCAGGGGACCAAACGATTCAATTAATCGACAGCACTTAGTTCTCAAGAGTAACTAGCTACCTCAGGGAGGTGTTTCTAACTCTTAGTGATCAACGATCAAGGACCAAAGACGCCTCGCAAGGCACGTGTCTTTAAGATCAAAAGGGGAACTGAATTTTATTTACATTGACACCTATAGAATATCTTAACCGAAGTTAGTACGACTAAGATCTCTCTTATCTAGTGGCTGACACCAGTCAGCCCCTATAAACCGATAAGACATTGTATATCTCTTTCAGTGGGATATCATCCCTGTGTCTAAGACACAGGGCACCAGGTACCCAACTGCGTGTAACCCCGTTACATCCACAACCCCCCCCCGCAGCTCTTGTTCGTCGCAAACTGCATTTTTAGATTTGTAATGACTTTTTTTCGATACGCTTAATGATAAAAAAGATTTTATGCCCCAGGAAAGATATGTACGATTGCGTTATAAGTGCGAGATCCTGATCTGTCGTACAAAACATATGGTATGATGTGTTCAGCGGATCCGCGACATCTCTCAGTTGTTTCATTGCCCATTGACAATCTTCTTCCTGTTCGCCGGCCATAAAGCAGTAGGCAAGCGAAAGAGACTGTTTCGTTGCTGCTATTCTCATTATGTGCGAAAGCAGCATGCAAAATTTGTTGGTCTTGTATGCGATATCCAACAGAACTACATCACTTGCTAAAAACTCCTTGCAACAGCAAGCGCAGAGTTTAGTACAACGAATAGAAGAGTGATCCTGCCTGAAGTATCGCGTCAAATTTTGCGGCTGGTCTGATTCTTAACAAGCTTGTCAAGGAAGGCTTACAGAGGTGGCGTACATCCAGAGACGCGTACTTTGCCTTCAGTTTGATGTTATAGATATCGCAAAGATTTTTTTTGCAAATGGGATTGCTTTAAAGTAAGGTGCTGAGAGTTGCCTTCGGTGATATGCCAGATTTGGCTAGGTGCAGATCTGGCATCTTTTGTTCCGCGTCGAGCGTTCTTGCTACCGGATAGGCCGCCGTATCTTCGACCGCTTCATGGTTATGCCCACCATACTTGACCTTCAGAGTGAAACTGCCATCATCTGCATTCTGATGAAGTGTAGTCTGAAATGGACAGTCGGTGCCGGAGGATTCTGAGTATCGATACAAATGCATTTTGATACATGCACTCCACCATGTTAGCAGTGAACTACGACGTGCTTGACGGAGTTGCCCTTTTGTTTCCCACGGTTCGAGAGCAACGTACCTTGATACCGTACTTTTCCAATTTTGATTGGGCTGTGAGCTCCTCTGAGGCTGTCCCAATTGAAACTTGAGATGACTCAATGGGTGGATCTAAAAGGCATAGCTTCGAAAATACATGGTATCGCACTGGTCGATGAGATGATCAAAAAAGGAAGGTCAGTTTTGGTCGCGGTCACGTCGTTTGAATCTGCTGTGAGTTTTGGATCCGAGTCATCTGATTGGTAAGTAATGGGGTTAGTGGTTCATATAACAAGGGTGTGTAAATATACAACTAAATTTTCTTTACAGATTTATGCCACCTTTCATTAATCACCAGCACGCTTAGTTGTCACGATTTATCCTTGAACATTATCGAAAAAAATGGAGTTGGCAAGCCTGGAAGTTCGCTCGTTAAATAAGTTATTCAGTCCAACAAGACCAAGTTCGAAAATTAGTCTAATCATATTGGAAGGTTGGCGGCTGGGAATGGATTTGCTTCGTGTTCATTTCCACTACTCTGTTGTGTACTCTGTGCTCTATCCAATCATTGTTGTTGACGCGGTACAGAGATTGATGTAACAGTGAAGGGACGACGGCTAATCCTGCCAGGCAAACCCGTCAGTAACAAATCAGGTCGAAGGCATCATAACTGAATAACGAAGGTATGAATTTAAAGTAAGGGGCCTAATCTGACATATACAGAGAAAGGTGGCCACATGATTCTTACTACTGGAGTTTATTATTTACCTTAGAGGCAAACCGTGCTTTTGTGACTTAATTTCTCCACTCACTCGCAATGAGTGTCCCTGGACCAAAAAAGATGCGTTGAAGGTATGAGGTCGGTTATGCCCAGGATCCGTATACTAAAACTAAAAACTGTTGTAGACTTCGTTTTTGTCGCTTTGGTTTCGATATAGCTTTGGATGAAATATAAAGACCGTGTCTATCTGTTGCAGCAAATCATATTTTGTCAATATGAAGTGAAAGATTCCAATGGAACACGCTAGAGAAACTTTAACATTGAATGTTTACAGATAGTGTAACGGGGCACCCTGAAGCTTGTACTGGTGACAGTACAAGCTACTTATTCTGACGACAGAATAAGGCGGTGCCTCCGAACCTCACGTACACTGGTACGTGCAGAGGAAGACGGTAAGAAGAAGCGAGTACTTGGTTAAAGTAAAAAGTAGAACTGTATTTAGTATAGTTAATGTCTGCAATAAATCACTATTTATCTTCATCTAACTATGTCTAAATACAAATGTGTAAATCAATTATCTGCTCACCACTCATTGCGTGCGTCTGTCGTGGCGCGTCTTCGTTGGTTGATATAATGGCCTATATCAACCAATTAGGAACTACTTGGAAGTGCTACAGAATATTGTCCTTATGACAATATTCTGAGAATATAACTCTTATAGTTATATTCTATTAACAATTTCTTATAAATTGTTATGTAACGATTCACCCCGTTACATCACCCCCCCTTAACCATCAGTCACTTTAGTGACTGATTGACTAAATGGATACTCGTTTCAAATCATTTGGGACAGGGTTTGCACTTGTTGGTCCGCGTCCACTTTCCAACATCTCATCGTATGGTTAACAAGCCCATGCGATGCGCGAGCAAGGCCGCCGAGAGCGCGTCCGCACGTCTCTGTGCGGACGCCGAAGCAGAAACAACAGCAACTGATGTCTCATCGGTTGCTGAAGCGACCCAGCCTGTGTCACTTGGTGATGCAGGCGCTGGTCATGAAGACACTCGTGTCTTCACAGAGTACGAGCTCGGTGTCTCGTACTCTCCTGATACGGATGACGGATCCGTATCGACGGCGATTGAATCTAAGCCGCCTGCCAAGCGTGGCATGGACGATGCTTTGCGTCGCAGCATCTTTGGTTCATCTGATGAATCAGATGAACCATGGCCGAAGCGAAGGAGCTCGAGGTCGCGAGACTCGGGCGCTAATAGTGGTGTCGGTTCTCCTATGGACACCACTTCACAGCGAGGTGCCAGTTCTTCTGTCGGCACGTCGCAGGAAGAGCGGGACCGCAATGTCTTGCGTCTCGCTCCTGAGAAGAAGGCATGGATGCCTCCAAAATCCGTCATGGATCACTTGTCGGCGACGACGAGTGATCGTTATCGAACACGATTGTTCGATTCGTCAAGGATCCATCACCTTGACCCCAGCGCGAAAAACTATCGCGCTGAACATGAATTCTTCATCGATGCTTTCTTTAGACATCGATGGTACAGTGGGAATCACAAACGTGATGGTCCCTCACTACTTCAGGCGTGGAACGCTTACATCCATAACCTTGAGGATGTAGGTCGTGACGCTTGGAACGACAAACTTATCAAAGCTCGTGATAAGTTTGTAAAAGAGAACCCCAACAGGTGCACGCTACAAGCTGCATCGTCTGTCAAGGGAAAAAGGGTTACCCTGCCTCTCTTGGGGAGACTCGTGCCCATGTTGTGTGAACAACTCTGCACGAGCACCTAAGGAGGCTTACCTCCTTACCAGCCCGTGGTGGCGCGTACGTATCTCTATTGAGATGTACGAAGGGATTGACAATCTGAAATCCCTTTACGACCGTGCCGGGAAGACTTTCTCCGGCGGTCCTTCTGCGGCACAGGATGTGCCGCGTCGTACTGCTCAACCAGACCCAGTACGTCGATCATCAGTTGGGAGCGGGGCTCCCAAGAATCCCAGGACGGGGGATAGCCGCGCCACCGGACTTATAACTCGTCCGACGTCCGTTCACGTCGCGGTGGTTCAACAACTGCTCAACTAGATAGCGCTGGCCACCGCGAGAGTCCTCTAATGGAGGTGGAGCAGGAGGAAAGACGCTCTCCACACGATCATGTGGATCGGTGTGTTCCCGAGAGCTTCTTTGATCGCGTAACGCAAGGGGTACGCGACGATCTCGAACATGAGCGGAATAGGCGTCTCCAAATGGCGGACACTGCCTCGAAGCATCGAGATAAGTTTGCCTTTGCTCAGCTCGAGAACGAGAGAGCTCTGACATCTCTTCGTGACGAGCTAAGGGTAGCTCGTGGGATTGTTGATCGGTCTCGGGCTGAGATAACTGCTCTTCAGACCCTTGTTGATGCCCACCATCGGGAGCACAAGGCTCTCTGCGAGATGCTTGAGCGCAAGGGCGTTCTTCATCGGAAGAAGCAGCGTACTGATGGTACGGCTTAAGCCGACCAACGTAAAACGTGGGATGCGTTCGCATCTTACGTGGTAACTCGATCGTGTATGCATTGCCTAGGCGGTGCAATACACGAAATGGGCCAATGTACTTGGGTAGTAGTTTACTGCTACCCAAGTTAGTCACTACATGCTTTGGTAGATTAACCGTAGACAGTAGGACTAAGTCACCTTTATTAAATGAAAGAGTGTTTGCCCTTCCATTCTTGTCAGCGTTTTGCTTTTGCTTATCCACCGCTTCGGCGATGGAGTCTTGCACAAAACGGACTACCGTTTCACGAGCCAGTATGAACTCATCTGATGACTCGTTAGCTTCAGTGTGCTGTGAGCGCACTGCAGCAACATCAACCTTTTCTTCAGTGAGGGCTTCCGCACTCTCACTGGGATCATCTTCTTCAGTGAGGGCTTCCGCACTCTCACTGGCATCATCTTCTTCGATATTGATGTTATCGATATCGGCATCAAACGCAATGACTTCTTCGTCAGAGCGCGATGAGCGTGAACCAAATCGGTTTTTGCTCGCGCGAGTCCCTCCCCCCCTTAAACCAGAGTTACACTCTAGTAAGGTGGGTACACGCGGATGGCGCAAGCCATTCACGTAAAACGGTGTATGTGTCGTGGACGCATGCACCGAGTTGTTGATGGCAAACTCTACCATTGGCAAAAACTCACTCCAACTTGTAAAGGAGTGTACGTATCCTCGAAGTATCTCTTCAAGGACACGATTGGCACGTTCCGTCTGACCATCTGACTCTGGATGATCAGATGTTGACATCTTCAAGCGCGTTCCGAGTGATTTGAACACGGAACGCCAGAAATCAGCAGTGAATCGTGGATCTCTGTCTGATACGAGTTCACGGGGCAACCCATGAAGTCGGAAGATGGTGTCAATAAAGACACAAGCACAGCCACTTGCCGTGATTGTCTCTGGTACAGCCACGAGGTGTACCATTTTGCTGAATCTGTCAACAAATACGAGAATACCCGTATTCCCGCGTGCGTCTTTGGGTAACCCGAAGACAAAATCCATTGAGATGGATTCCCAGCACTCAGCCGGAACCGGTAGAAGCTGTAATGGAGCACGCAGTGAAGGACTTGACTTCACTCGTTGACAGACTTCGCATGCGCGAACATACTTTCGCACAAACTGATACTGGCGGGGCCAGTAAAAGTCTCGACTTACGTGAGATATTTTTTCTCCCCCCCTCTAATCCCACCGTGAGATATGTTTTCTCCCGCCCACGATTTCCCCCTTAGGAGCATCGTGATACTCGAACATGATCCGCAAACGCAGATCAGTATCATCTGGAATGACAACACGTGGTGTGTCACCAGAAACGGCTGTATAATACAGTAAACCGTTACGAGTAGTGTATCGATCTGATGCAGATCAATACGCAGGCGACAATCGTTTCAACGATTCTCGAGATGGTTGGGAGAGATGTGACAACAACTTCACTATCTCACCATCTTGGGCGTATGCCCGCCTTACATCATCATACGACGTTGTAGATGGGACTGAGGACGTCATAACCGCAACAGTGACTGTCTCACTGTTGGGTTTCGCGACTGTTTCAAAGTCGGGACGACGTGAGAGTGCATCGGCGACGACATTAAGTCGTCCTGGTTTGTACTCGACCGTAAAGTTGTATTCCGCAAAGAATGACAACCACCGCGCCATTCGTTGTGAAAGGTGCGGGCTGTTCACTGCCGTGCGTAATGACGCACGGTCAGTGTAAACAATGAAGGGTCTATCTTCTAATAGATAGACTCTGAACTTCGCGAGTGCATACTTCATGGCAAGGAGTTCCTTGTCATGCACTGGATAGTTCCGCTCAGCTGGTTGCAGCTGACGCGACTGATAGCAGACGACGCGTTCAACGCCTTCAAGATCGTACTGCATTAATGCACAGCCGATTGCGAAATTGCTGGCATCACAGACCACATGAAATGGCCTGTCCTGATCGGCTATTGCTAGGACTGGGGATTGTATCAAGCTCTGCTTGATACCATCAAAGGAGCGCTGACATTCAGCGTTCCATAACCACCTTTCGTTCTTTTTCAACAAACGAGAGAGGTGCACAGTCATCTCGGCGTAATTGCGTGAATACTTGTGCAAATACGCCGCTAGCCCAAGGAATTTTCGAAGACCTTTGACATCAACCGGCACAGGCCAGTCGGTGATCGCCTTGATCTTTTCGGGATCAGGACGTACACCGTTCTTACCAACGATGCACCCAAGAAGTGGTATTTCGCTTGCTGCAAATATACACTTCTTGAGGTTTGCATACAATTGATGCTTCGCATGATTGTAAGAACCTGTCGGACGTGGTACCTGTGAACCTCAACGTCCGACTTTCCATCCACAGCTCGACTATGGATGAATACGTCATCGAAATAACTCGGCGCGAATTCTCGTACTGGTCTCAACAGATGTGATACACATCTGTTGAAAGTGGCAGGGGCATTACTAAGCCCTTGTGGCATTACTAGCCATTCCCAGAGCATGCCGCGAGGCGTGCTAACTGCGGTATAGGGTATATCCCGTTCCCGCATTAGGATTTGATAGAAGCCATCCATCAAATCCATGGACGAAAAGATGGTACTCTTTGACATACCATCAATGATTACGTCCTTCCTCGGTATCGGCGTCTGAGCCGGTACCGTTGCAGCGTTCAATTTGTTGAACGCGTGCACTATCCGCCACCCTCCTGTTGCTTTTCGCACACAGAAGGTCGGAGAGCTATGTGGGGAAGTTGATTCCCTCACATGGCCCGCTGCTAAACGATCGGCAAAGAACTTGTCGATCGCAAGTACTTGTTCACGAGGCAGTGGCCAATGCTTCATGACACAGTACTTCGAGCCTGGTTTAAGCTCGACCTCGTGTCGAATACCTTTATCCTTCGGTAATTCGCACGGAACAGTTTCAGGGAATACATCCTTGAATTCAACCAAATCTTCATAGAGATGATTTCTCTTGAGCGATTCCCATGATTGAGAGTCATATCGCTCAATTCGTGTCTTTTCATCTAGGACACTCTCGTCCATTGGTGAACTACTGAGAACTCTCTCGTTCTCAGTGAACATTGTTGCTGACCTTATGTCGGCTACACACTCGTCGTCAGCGACGAGTACGCAGATCTGCTTGACTTTGCCACTACGCAGATCACGCAAGAACCTTTTATGTTCGAGCGTTGGCAACTGAGTGATCTCTGAAGTCAACTTCGGAGGCGCAATCAGATCAAGTGTATAAGCGCCTACACTTGATCCGTTATTGACTATGACATTCAATGTCTCTGTCATTTCCTGGGGACTTATTCCCTCAGGCTTCGAAGGACTTATTCCTTCGGCTTCCCGGGGACTTATTCCCTTGGGTTTCGGGGAACTTATTTCCGCCGTATTTGTAATCTTGGGACTTATTCCCTTTACTTCCTCTAGCTGGGGTTGCGCAACCACAGCGAGATCCTCTACGAAAGACTCTCCAGTCGATCTAGGATTATCGTTTCGCTTAACCTGAGCGATCGATTGTTTCTCTTCTAGATGTTCCCCGATAGGGATACATCTTTGTCCCAGTCCACCCGACTTATTCGAGTGGTGGACCTTCGGCGCAGCCTGTGTTTCCTCACAGCCGCCGGAACTTTGCTCCGAAGTGTAACCGTTTGGTACACTAAGGTTTTGTGCAGTCGTACTAACGACCGTACCACAAGTGAGGCCATCGCACTCACTCGTAGTACATCCACACGCTTGTGGACGCTCCAAAACGTTCATCAGATGGCCATCTGATGAACAAGCGGCAGGCATCGTTACTGTTCGATGTTGCCAGTTTACCCGTGGTTCGTACCTTCTGAGCCACGGTATTCCAAGGATGACATCAAATTTGTCATCCAAATCCAATACGATAAAGTCATCGTCATATTGGGTATCTTCTAGCGTATAGTGGATCTTCACTATACGCTTCATGACGGTTACGGATGCGCCTGTCGCAAGACGTACCGTCATCCTCGTAGGAGGTGTGTCACATTCACTGAATTTAAAGTGACCATCTTCTAGCGGTTGGCGTCGCACAAAATTGTTGGACGCCCCACAATCGACTAGAACTCGAAGGGACAACTTATTCGTCACTTCGAGTTTCAAGGTAATGAGTGAGACCTCATTACCTAGAGCAGCAACGCACAACGTTTGTGTGTTGGGAGCAACCTTCATCAAGAGGCCTACAAATTCTCTTGACGTTGCTGGATCAGTAGGGTGCTCCGCACCTACTGATCCTGTCCGTTTTTTGACGGCCCATCCCGTTGTTGCGTCTTTGCACCAACTGCGGACCCTCGTCCCTGCCCCTTTCTCATGGGTGGACGGTCACTACGCCCAGTGTCGCGAGACACTGGACGAGGGGCACCACACTCGTAAGCGTAGTGTCCTGTCTTTTGACATCTATTGCATCTCTGCAACTTCTTGTAGTCTGTAGAGCGATCCTTCGCGCTCTCTACATAACAGAGTTCCATCGGCTGTGGACCTCCGTTGTCATATCGTCTCGGTTGACGATATGATGTCGAGCTGGCGCGAGCCTGTCTCAGACTGAAGTCTTCCTGTTCCGCAATGGAAATGGCTTGTTTTAGTGAATCTAGTTCAAGCCGGAACAGGTGAGTCTTGACGGGACCATCCGCAAGACCCTGCATGAACACCGAAACCAACGTGTGTTCATCCACCGGATTGGAACTTAAGCAACTCGTGAGATGTCGTATATGTTGTGCGCAAGCGTGCACATCACGCTTACCGTGTTTGAGCTGCAAGAGTTCGGTTCGAGCTCTGAACTCAGCTCTAGGCGGTTCAAACGTTTGTCTGAGCCGCGACTTGAAGACTTCCAACGACCCAAACGCAAATGGGTCGTGCAACTTGAGCCCCAGTGCCCAAGTCTTGGCACGTCCTGCCAGATTTGACTGGGCAAATGCAACTTGCATATCCCCGTCGTCGATGCGACGCGCCCTTATGGCGTCATCCAATTCGACGAACCATCTCAAGAGGGAGTCTTCTTCGACCCCCCTATACTTGGAGATGTCAATCTTCAAGGTCTCGGGTCGACGCGAGTGCATCGACCCACCAGCAGCAGCCTGCTGCTGTCTCAACAGTCCAAACTGTTGAGCACCCTGTTCTCTCAACAACTCTGCTTGTTGAGAACCTTGTTGGTGAAGCAAGGCTACTTTCTCGCGTTCTGCGTCAAGTTCATTTTGAATGAACTTGGCGATAGTAGCATGTTGGGCATCTCTATTGGGAGCCTCTAGCATGACGCTAACAGCATGGATGCCCATGGTCGAGCCCATTCGTTCAACCGCATCCCATTCGACATCGCTCAAATGGGAGTAGCCGTCACGCGTAGCGTGAAAGCTTTGGTCATCTTCATCATCCAACATATTCATGTTGGATGTGAACGCGGTCCTTGGACGGACTAAGAAGTGCTACCAGGTGTAACGGGGCACTCTGAAGCTTGTACTGGTGACAGTACAAGCTACTTATTCTGATGACAGAATAAGGCGGTGCCTCGTAACTTCACGTACACTCGTACGTGCAGAGGAAGACGGTAAGAAGAAGCGAGTACTTGGTTAGAGTAAAAAGTAGAACTGTATTTAGTATAGTTAATGTCTGCAATAAATCACTATTTATCTTCATCTAACTATGTCTATATACAAATGTGTAAATCAATTATCTGCTCACCACTCATTGCGTGCGTCTGTCATGGCGCGTCTTCGTTGGTTGATATAATGGCCTATATCAACCAATTAGGAATTACTCGTAAGTGCTACAGAATATTTGTCCTTATGACAATATTCTGAGAATATAACTCTTATAGTTAAATTCTATTAACAATTTCTTATAAATTGTTATGTAACGATTCACCCCGTTACAGATAAGCTAGTTTATAGTTTTTAACATAAAATCAAGATTTCATGCTCGATATGG